GAGAGAGAGAGAGAGAGAGAGAGAGAGAGAGAGAGAGAGAGAGAGAGGCCTTGTGTCCTGATTTATAAGCTGACTGCGTCATCAATCGGCTGCTGTAGTGAACACCAGTAATGACTAATGTCATCAGTGAGAGCTGCACGCATGCAAACAGCAGCAGTAGAGCAGCAGTGTTCATGTAGGGAGGAGAGTGTTCATGTTCCCAGAACAACATCCAACGTGAGACAGATCCAGTCTTTATAGTTCGGTATCTTTAGAACTCCAAACAGGACTTAGTGTTGGTGGCGTGGTACCGATCCGCCCACCTCAAACCCATCAGTATCTGGATGCTGTGGCAGAAATCTATAATATTATTCAGAATATTTGCTCCTCTGTTGTGCATTTAATCAGGAAGAAGCTGGTCATTAGTGTGACGCAGAACCTTCAGTAGCTCGTTTAGGTTTTTTTTATTCGGGTTTGCTTTACAAGTTCACTTGTATCCTGATCTGATGCCACAGAAAGCCTTCTGGATGCAACACTCATTCACCCAGAGAGAAAGGTTTGAAGGTTACATCTCTGGAAAACATAAACGGTCCAGATCTCACATCAGGACATTGTTCTAAACATGAAGGAAGTGTTTGAAATGAGTTGACATCACATCATGAGGGGTTTGGATTTAAGCTCCTTGTGAATCAAGGAAACGCTGAAATTTAACCATAAACTACACGTGAACTTCTCCTCCCTGTAAGACACATTTTAAATGGCAACAGGAGAAATATAAAAAGCTTTTAATAGCAAACGTCTGTTAAAGTGTCTCATAGTTAGAAGTTTGACAGAAAGAGATAACAACAGCTAACACACCCTCTTTAAAGCGGAATGCAGCGTCTGAGCTCATGCTGGTGGTTTCATGGTGGTCTGGCTGTGCACGGTGGTGTTGCTGCAGTCACGGCTCCAGCTCTAAGATCTGTATGTTGTTAGTGGTCCTGTGTACGGAACAGACTCTCCTCAGCCAATGAGAGGAGCCCAACACTAACCAGCTGCTCCAACAGAGAGATATATATAGAAGGACAACAAGCATTCATCACTATTACAGAATGGGTACGATCACCCTCTAACTACAGCATTATAAACTACAGCTGCACTAAACTGAATTCATATTTAATATCTGCTCAGAGGAAGTTCTGTTAAACACGGAAAAGGAAAAGTAAACATGATGCATGGAGGTTGAGGATGAACTCATGGTGGCAGTTTGTGTGTCGCTCAGAGCTGCAACAGCAGCTTTTCATCTGTTATAATAATCAGTTCAAGCTCTATTCTCTGTGCATTATGTTATAATCATATGAACTATGTGTTGGAGCAAATGTATATAAACCCAATAAAGTGCACAGAACAGAGGAATCCCTTTCTGACCGCTGTGAGGCAGATACTGCTCTGGTAAGTGGATGTGTGTGTTTTGGAGGGTGGACTTTATTTCATGTACCTCCTTGTGACCTCGTGATGTTGGTGATGAACTCATTGATATAGAACTAGTTTCCATTCCATTGTTTGTTCTCTCACTCATCGCAGACTAGATCTGAATCTCCTCCATCACAAAGGCTGGAACTCACTCCCCAATGCGTCACCACAGCTCCCCTTAAGCAGGCAGATGAGCACCGATCAGCTGATTCTATAACAATATCTCAGTGTTTTGAAGAGGTGAAATGGTTTCAGAGTGATCTCGGTTCAACACTTGAGAACGGAGGAACATGTAAAGTGTGAAACAGTGAACTAGCTCAGCTGGTGTCTGTTCTGTTAATAAACTAAAGTGTTAGCTAAAGGTGGAGGTAGAACGCTACGACAAAGTAGCCCAACACATAACAACAGGTCATGTGATATTTTAGAGATTGACTCTACGTATTTAAAGGTGCAGTGTGTAAGATCTGGCCATGGGCTCCAAACAAATACTACTACCGTGTCCATGCAATCTAGATGTGGAGGCATCAGTTATAAGAGAAGCTAACTGCTAACAGCAGGACGAGAATACTCAAACTCCCACTGGTCAAACTATGTCTGCTGTCTGATAATGTTCAGGTGTGGCGTTGGCCTGTACTTTATTCACTGTGACTCTAACCGGAGCGGTACCATGTGAGCATTTGTTTATTGGATTGAATCCAAAATGGCAGAAACGAGACAACAACTCCCATCTTGGTTTCGTCCTTCCTCGTCACCAGAAGACGTGCGAGACAGGCCTTCAGTCTTACCCCAACACCGGGGGTTTGATCCTGGGTAGCTCTGCACTAACATGATGAACTTCTTCTCCTTATATTTAATGTAGACCACGTTATATATATCTGCCGGCTTTAATTGGTTGTTCTTTGTCACGTGACATGTGGTGGGTGCTGCTTTAATTTCAAAGGTTGAACTATTTCTATCTCGGGGCGCTTTGGACGACGACGGCGTCGCTCTCGTTTTTGACGGTGGATCAGAGGGCGCTGAAAACACAGGTTAGGTAACTGAAGGCTCGTCCCGTGAAGTAGTCTCATCATGTTGTTGTTTCTGCCACTTTGGATTTAATCCATTAAACCAACTATCAAAACGCACACGGACGTACTATTGACAAGCTCTTTGTCTTCGTCCTCTCATGTTGGACTGAGGACAGACTGGAGGACACAGTGACTCACTATCAGCTCTAGAGGTGGTATTACAGGCCGGGGCTAGCTGGTTAGCATCAGTAGATATTGACAAACTCCAGGTTCTGACAAGAGAAGTCAAAGCTTCATGTGTTAAAGCTGCATTCTCTCTAGTGTCCACCAGGGGGCGACTCCTCTGGTTGTATAGAAGTCTATGAGAAAATGACTCTACTTCTCTCTTGATTTATTACCTCAGTAAACATTGTAAACATGAGTTTATGGTCTCAATCTCTAGTTTCAAGTCTTCTTCAATACAGCATGATGTTCATTTAGTAAATTATGGCGTCTCTACGTCACTCCTCCTCAGTCCAGATATGGCCACTTCCTGTTCACTGGTTGCAAAAAAATGAAGATGGCGACGGCCAAAATGCTGAACTCAAGGCTTCAAAACGTCCACAAACCAACGAGAGACGTCAGGATGACTACGTCCTCTTCTCATGAACAGTCTCTGTTGGGTCATTTTCTGAATGTTTTAAAGTAAACTTCTGGCCACATCTGACACATTGCACCTGATAAGTTGGCCAGTGAGCCTCGACGTGTCTGAAGCCAACACGGTGTTCTCACAAGTGTGTCATGACAAACGGCCGCACTAAACATCCCCATCACCTGCCTCTCTCACCTGTTACCACCACCCTCCCAACCAGCGCCCCTCTGTGTCATGCTCTGCTTTAATCAATCTTTGAATCTTCTCCTAGGCTCTTACCTTCTCTCCAGGCTGGCTTTCTGCTCTTAAGCCATCATTTTGGGACATTGTTTTTAAAAAGGGGGGAAGTCTACAGAGAGTTAATAGTCTTCTTGTAGTTGGTGGAAAGACTACTAGTTATGGAGGTCATGAGCCTCAAAGAGGTTCGTCTGAGATGTAAAGATACCCAGCAGCCATCCAGGGGTCAAAGGTGTTAAAGTTTGGGCTGGTTAATTGACACTAAACCAGGTTATAGGATGAAATAAAATGGGTGCGTGCAAGTCACGTAAAGACTTGAACACAACACGACAAGGTCTTTAAAGCGGCCTCTTGTCCTCGAGGTGTATTCTAGAGAACCAGACTAGGTAGGGGTTGATAGGAGGTGCCGACTGAAGAGGGGGGGGTTTAAGTCACAGACTGAGAGTGAAGGTTTACCCACAATCCACTGAGAGAAACCGCTGTCAGCTCCAGCCTTCAATGTCCTTTCCCTCTTCCTCCTCATCAGAATGGGCGATCGTGGAGGATTCAGTAAGTTTGGTGGTAAGTGACAAAAAAAACAACACAAAAAGGTTTGTTAAGTTTAAGGAGTCAAAGCTAAAAGGAGGTCAGTAGCCTCACAGCATGAGGCGGGGTGTGGTGTTTACAGCAATGAGTACATTTACACTACACTGATCAATACATAAGAAGCTTATTGAGGGTTCCATGACAGCAGGTCAAACTTACCACTAAATCTTTCATGCTGTCTCTTCTCTGCAATGAGCTCCACCAGGTAGAGTGATGCTCAATGTTTCATATCACAGCCGTGCAGGTGAGAACCCTCAGAGCTCTCTTCCACCACATCAGCTCTGGTTCTTGAGCCGGTTCCTCTCAGGATTCTTAGAACCTGGCGTTTCCACTAGTTTAGAGCGGAACCATTGTGGTCCATGTGGTGTCGTCCTTGAGGGAGTAAACAGAAATAGCGAGATGGCGGATCGTATTTAGTTTTTATCCCCAAAACAAGCTTGTATTAATAAGAACACTGTTCTCCATTGTTGCCTTTCCAACCTGTAGAACATGACACGTCCTTCAGCACAATGAAAACCTCATGTTTTAGGTTTTAGGTTTAACTTTTCGGGTTCTGAACTAACGCTTCAGATTCGGTGCTCAAACTGGAACAGAGGCAGTTCCGTGTTGGTGGGAAAAAGGCTTTTGTGTGGATAATAATCTCAGTGGTGTAAATGTCCAGCAGAGGGAGCTAAAGGGCTCATTACGGCTTCACATGGTCTGTGGTCTCCATGGTGTTGGAGGGTTCAGGGTGCTTGAATCGGACCGATGGGAGTTCAGAGCTTTGGTCTCTGAGTCATAAAACCTGCAGTGTTTGATGGGTTAGAGCTACAAAACCAACAAAAGACACGAGATCAGAAAAGCATCAACATGTGAATGGATGAAATACAAACGTATGTTCTCAAAGCAGCTCGACTGGAACGCGTAGAAGGAAGTTTGGTTCTTTTGTCCTAGAGATGGGTTGAACAGTAAAACTGGTTTCATTGCTCAACTGTGGAACTTTATCTGGTGGTGAAGTTGATCGGGTACATTCTGTAAGTGGAATGTTTGTGGTTTCTCAATAATGTTTAATTGATCAGGAACAACACGACTCTGTTGTATAAAACACACCACGTTTAATTGAAGTATTGCATGTGTGTGTATGTGAGTCTCATTTGAGTTTGATAAAACCACTTTCAAACAACTCTGCTCTCTGAGTTCGTAGATGTATTTGTTCAAATGATATAAAGGTAGTTTGTTGATTTGAAAATTAGAAAGCAGCTCATTAATTTCTGTCGCTCTAAGTAGTAATCCTGCATATTTAATGTACGACTGGTTCACATTAAATCACTGTGAAGTTAAGACTTGACACCTGTACACATTAGTCACGGTGACACAGCGTTATGATTTTGTTTAGTGAATGATGAGTCATCCATCCTGAGCGCAGTCAGCTACTGAGAGACATTGTTCAACGTAAAGAGGAATCAATAGTGTCACCTCTCCACACGGGACGAGAGGTTCAGATGTCGTGTTGATTGGAGGTTTGTCTGGTGTGTTACAGACGTCTCTCCAGCCCCCAAAAGGAACACTTCTACACTACAGTTGGTTTAAAGAAGGTGTGCATCACTGCACTAAGTAACAAAACACTCAAAAACATGACAAACACGGTGTTCCTACTCTCAACTGTGATTACCCAGAATCCTTTGTTCAGCTGTGTGGAAAACAAAAGGCAGACAAAGGAGTTAGTTACATGGATTACCGTGTCAGCTGAACAGAGGCTGTGTTGGTATCGGTCCTAAGAGGTGGTCCTATCTGTGTTCAACACATGAACACAGTGGTGGCTCTGCATGAAGGGGCGGAGCCTCTCACGTGGTGCGTTTACCTGGTGGATCCACCAACAACCACACCGTTAAGTGTGGCGGTCATAACAACGCTCAAATCCACCTCAATAATGTCTTTGTTTGTGTGACTTCACATCAGATAACCTGGTGTGTAGTTCATGAGGACACTCAGCTGATAGATCACATCTCCACAGACAGGATGGTGACCTGGTGTGTAGTTCATGATGACACGCAGCTGATAGATCACATCTCCACAGACAGGATGATGACCTGGTGTGTAGTTCATGAGGACACTCAGCTGATAGATCATATCTCCACAGACAGGAAGGTGACCTGGTGTGTAGGTCATGAGGACACTCAGCTGATAGATCATATCTCCACAGACAGGATGATGACCTGGTGTGTAGGTCATGAGGACACTCAGCTGATAGATCACATCTCCACAGACAGGATGGTGACCTGGTGTGTAGGTCATGATGACACTCAGCTGATAGATCACATCTCTACAGACAGGATGGTGACCTGGTGTGTAGGTCATGATGACACTCAGCTGATAGATCACATCTCTACAGACAGGAAGGTGACCTGGTGTGTAGGTCATGATGACACTCAGCTGATAGATCACATCTCCACAGACAGGATGGTAACCTGGTGTGTAGGTCATGATGACACTCAGCTGATAGATCACATCTCCACAGACAGGAAGGTGACCTGGTGTGTAGGTCATGATGACACTCAGCTGATAGATCACATCTCCACAGACAGGATGGTGACCTGGTGTGTAGTTCATGATGACACTCAGCTGATAGATCACATCTCTACAGACAGGATGATGACCTGGTGTGTAGTTCATGATGACACTCAGCTGATAGATCACATCTCTACAGACACAGACTAGAAGCTCAACACTGCTGCTGTTCCTCAGTGTTTATGTGCTTTATCACTTCTTCTTTTCCACATTTCATTTCTGTTTCTGTTTTCTTTCCCTCTCCAGGACCAAGAGACCCGGGACACGGACATGGAGGACCCGGCTTCAGTAAGTCTGACACATCAACAGTGGGTTTAGATGTTTCATGGAAAGATGCTGAATTTACAGTGCAGTTATAATGATCAAATAAAAATACACACGTGTGTATAATAATGATGCTTGAAGCTAGAGTTGGTGATCTTAAGAGTTTGTTAGATTAAAAAACAAAAGATCCAACATAAGAACACAGCTCAGCGTTTCTTCTTCTGAAATCATCGAGCAGCTCTCGCTACAAAAGTTTCTAAATTTAGTGAGAAACTCTCCAAGTCTTCGTCACCTCTAGAGACACGCCCCCAAATGATCCCCATGAATGTAAACAAACAACATGGCTGCTGTTAGAATGTTAGAACTCACAGCTGGTAAAATAGAAGATATGTAAAGACTCTAGTGGGGAGAAATGATGGTAGACAGACGGGCAGGCAGGTCGACAAACATATAGCCAGGCTGGTAGACATGCAGGCATGCAGACAGGTAGACATTTTACAGTCATTTAGCAGACGCTTTTATCCAAAGCGACTTACAATTCAGATTCTATCACATTTCTACACCGTAGGCACAGCTACGGGAGCAATTTTGGGGTTAAGTGTCTTGCTCAAGGACACATCGACACGCGACTAGCCAGACAGGCGGGTAGACATGCGGGTAGACATGCGGGTAGACAGACGGGTAGACATGCAGGTAGACAGGCGGGTAGACATGCAGGTAGACAGACTGGTAGACAGGCGGGTAGACAGACGGGTAGACATGCAGGTAGACAGGCGGGTAGACATGCAGGTAGAGAGACTGGTAGACAGACGGGTAGACATGCAGGTAGACAGGCGGGTAGACATGCAGGTAGAGAGACTGGTAGACAGGCGGGTAGACAGACGGGTAGACATGCAGGTAGACATGCAGGTAGACATGCAGGTAGACATGCAGGTAGACAGACTGGTAGACATGCAGGCAGACATGCAGGCAGACATGCAGGTAGACATGCAGGTAGACATGCAGGTAGACAGACTGGTAGACATGCAGGTAGACATGCAGGCAGACATGCAGGCAGACATGCAGGCAGACATGCAGGCAGACATGCAGGCAGACATGCAGGTAGACATGCAGGTAGACAGACGGGTGGTCCGTCCAATCGTTACATGCGGGCTGAATAAAGTGATTGGACGGGCAGACAGCCACAGATCTCTTTTATTTATTGATTGTGGTTAGAATCAAATAATTTCAACAGAGAAGCTAAATAAATTATGACGTAGTGGTTGTAACATATATAAGTTATTACTAATAACCTCACCGATGATGACAACAGAACATTGAATAGTAAGATAAACAGATGGTTTTATTTATCTGGTAACTCTTTAATGAAATTAATCTTGATAACAAATATCACATTGGATTTATGTATTTATGCTCATTGATGTCTTTATCTGGTGGAGAAGAGAGTGGAGCATTGAGGCTCTTCATATGTCCTCCATTCATTGATTGTTTGCTCTCTGCTCCCACAGTGCAGGACCAGGACAACTCTGACAACAACACCATCTTCGTCCAAGGCATGGGAGACGACTACACCGTGGAGTCGGTGGCAGACTTCTTCAAGCAGATCGGGATCATTAAGGTGCAGCAGACTGTTCATATTTAGTCTGTTCATGTATTCATCGTGTGTGTGGGGAACAGGCCCTCCAGTGTTATCAATGTGAATGACTTCAAGCTGAGTTTACTTCTCAAAATGACAGTAGAAGTACAAACAAACCAACAAAAGAGCTTCTTAAAACAGAAAGCTCAGATTGCAGCACAACTATTTACAAATGCAGGTCTTTAAATTCAGATAAACATCCAGGAAAGTGTGAAACTGATCAGATTCACTTCTGTTCCTCCTGATCCATATAATATATACACTAATATTCATGGTTTGTGTCTCTGTCATGTGACCTGCGATCCTCTCAGATCAACAAGAAGACCGGCCTGCCGATGATCAACCTGTACACGGACAGAGACACGGGGAAGCTGAAGGGGGAGGCCACGGTGTCCTTTGACGACCCCCCCTCAGCCAAGGCCGCCATCGACTGGTTTGATGGTGAGTTCGTGGTCTTCATCCTCTTTCAGCTCTTTGATCGCTCTGAGAAGTCAGGACGAGGTTCTCTCATCAACAAGAGTTCAGAGGAACATACTGAGCTGAGCTGAAGTGTAAATGCGTTTCTTTCCTTCACAGGTAAAGACTTCAGTGGAAATCCCATCAAGGTGTCTTTCGCCACCCGCAGGGCCGACTTTGGAGGCCGAGGTGGAATGAGGGGAGGACGAGGACGAGGAGGTGAGAAGTTCTCTGAACTGGAAGGTTGGTATTCTAATAAAACAAACACTGTGAGATGTTTGGTTTTTAAATAAGAAGTTCTGTTTTATTTGAGGATAAACTGAGATTGAAACTGTCTCAGCACAACGTATTACATCATCTTCTTCAGCAGATGAAGATGAACTGTTTTATTTTAATTAGCACTTTTATTTGGTTTAAACTTCCTTCGTCAAACACAAACAGCTGCTTCGTCACCTGACTGGTTCTGTTTGCTGCTCCGTGTAGGTCCGATGGGTCGTGGTGGATTCGGAGGGGGTCGAGGTGGAGGTTTCCCAGGAGGCAATGGAGGCAATGGAGATGGAGGAGATGGAGGAGGAGGAGGAGGAGGAGGAGGAGGAGGAGGAGGACAACAGAGAGCCGGAGACTGGAAGTGTTCAAACCCGTAAGTTTAAAGTCATTTACCTCTTCTAGAAGATCTGGATAGAAACATTTTTATACTACATTATATTTACTGTGTAGTAGAAACAGTGTTGTGTTCAAACTTCATACTAATACTTTACAGAAATAGAACACGTGTAAAGATCATTTGTAGTTGTGTGGTTATCTAATCTTTTCTCTGCAGTAACTGTGGGAACCTGAACTTCTCGTGGCGTAACGAGTGTAACCAGTGCAAGGCCCCGAAGCCCGAGGACGCTGGTGGGATGTCCCCCATGGAACGAGGTTGGGCTCCGTATTCTAGTCTGTTAACTCAAAGAACAGGTTTCTATGTTAAAGGTCCAGTTAGTATAATTCTGGAGGATCTCACCTGACGCTGAGAGCCATTGTGTTTATGGTGAGATTAGGATGAGTCCTCCATATGTACATAGAGAGCGGGAGGCGGAGTCCGCCATGTTCCTACGGCAGCCCAGAAGGGACAAACAGACCACTGGCTCTAGAGAGTCTGTCATGACTTGATGTCCTCTGAAGGCACCGTCGTTCTCTACACGCTGGTGGAACTACAGTAACGTGAGCCGCAGAGTGAGAAACCGTGGAACCGCCAGCTAAAGTATTTATATATAAAGTTATTATTGGGACTACTTTCTACCGGAGAAATAGTCCCCTTCAAAGCACTTTACTGCACCATCAGTGACTGGATCAGTGACAGATAAATTAATAAGAGTCCATCCTTTGAAACAACACTTCTTTTATAACTTTATCACTCTCTCACTCACAGCTGACCCCTCAGGGTCTCTCCTCCCTCAGGGTCTCTCCTCCCTCAGGGTCTCTCCTCCTTTAGGGTCTCCCCTCCCTCAGGGTCTCCCCTCCCTCAGGGTCTCTCCTCCTTTAGGGTCTCCCCTCCCTCAGGGTCTCTCCTCCCTCAGGGTCTCTCCTCCTTTAGGGTCTCTCCTCCCTCAGGGTCTCTCCTCCTTTAGGGTCTCCCCTCCCTCAGGGTCTCTCCTCCTTTAGGGTCTCTCCTCCTTTAGGGTCTCTCCTCCCTCAGGGTCTCTCCTCCTTTAGGGTCTCCCCTCCCTCAGGGTCTCCCCTCCCTCAGGGTCTCTCCTCCCTCAGGGTCTCCCCTCCCTCAGGGTCTCTCCTCCTTTAGGGTCTCCCCTCCCTCAGGGTCTCTCCTCCTTTAGGGTCTCTCCTCCCTCAGGGTCTCTCCTCCCTCAGGGTCTCTCCTCCTTTAGGGTCTCCCCTCCCTCAGGGTCTCCCCTCCCTCAGGGTCTCTCCTCCCTCAGGGTCTCCCCTCCCTCAGGGTCTCCCCTCCCTCAGGGTCTCTCCTCCTTTAGGGTCTCCCCTCCCTCAGTGTTTTCTGTTAACTATCTTCCTGTTCTGCTGTCAGGAGGTTTTGGAGGAGGCGAGCGCAGAGGGGGGTTCGATCGAGGAGGCTTCAGAGGCCGAGGAGGCTTCAGAGGCAGAGGAGGCGACCGCGGAGGATACAGCCCCGGAAAGATGGACGGAAGGTCAGATTCACCCAAACACACAGAACCCCTTCATTCAGTGGTTATTACATTTCATAGAAACATTTGCATTATCTGAATTAGGTCTAATCCCTCGTGGAACCTTTTCAGATGAAGACTTTTTAATATATATTTGTATTATTACGTCCTGTAGTATTTGTTTATTTAAGATGTGACATGAAGGTCTGAATACGTTCCCGTGTTTGTTCTGAATATCATTTGTTTTAAACCTTCACTGTTCAAACACACACACACACACACACACACACACCTGTTCAGTCCTCGTTCCTCATTGGTTGCCGGTGATGTAATGCGTGTGTATTGGTTATTTATTCCAGAGGCGACCACAGACAGGAGCGGCGGGGCCGTCCCTACTAACTCAGCTGTCTCACCTGCGGCACAGAGAGCGGCCCTCCACCTTTGTAGAATGTTGATCCTTTTCATTCAGCGGGTAGAAAGACGTGAGCGTCCCTGTTCTCTGTGTTTGCTCTCCATCATGTGACGCCTTCACCTCCTCTCATCACCGAGGCCTCACTTACTGTAAACACCATCTGATGTGTTTCATCATCGAACCTCCACAACGTTCTCTTTATCATCATTATCATCTAGACCAGCTGTCGCCTCTAACGGGTCGTTTTACTTTCATCGCATCAACCTTCTAACCTTTAACTAGAAGAATAAGTAACGAATCATTGGAATGAACCTAGAAGTCTGATTCTAGTTCGGAGGTGAGAACAGAGATGAACGTTTGAACAGAGCGATGGAGGATTCTAATCCTCAACCTGCCACTCAGAAGCGCGTCTGAAGGCTCCTGTTCTAGATGTCAGCGAGCAGTCAGAGGGAATAAGAACCAAGTTATTTAAAGGAATAATGTCCTGCAACAGGAAACAGAACCATAACATGTCTTTGGTCTCAGTGTTTGGTGTTACATTCATGAGCAGCTTGGTTTGAGGCGTGAGGCCTCGTGTGTCTGCAGATGTACCAACATGTTGGTGTAGAGACGTGTTTTTATTTATGTTCTTTTGTATTGTGCATGTGCTGCTTTTCAAATGAAAGTGTTGATGAAACCAAACAACGCGTCTGTGCTTCTTGTTTCTTTATGCAGCTTGTAACAGGAAGTTAGTTGTTACGCTTTTAAATACGTCCGTGAGCTTTGTGTTCTCAAAGGTTTTCTTTCAAAACTTGTGATATTTTGAGTTTAAATCCTCAGAGTTCTCATAGATGTTGAAGATGATGAATCAGTGACTGTGTCCAATGACCTTTAACCTCATCTTCAGCTGCAGTTCCTCTAACGACCACAAGAGGAGAATCTGATTTTATATTTTTCCTCCATTTATAATCTCAAAGGCTGTTTCTGACCCAGTGGTGTGAGTTTAATTCTCCCTGAGAAGAAGAACAGCAGCAGATCCGTCCTGAAGCCTGATCCACATTCATGCAGCACATCAAACGGCTCAGCTCAATAGTTATAAAAGTAGCTGTTTTTACTTTAGGGTTTTCTTTCTCTCTCTGTGAACACAACACATCAATACTCCGCCATCGAGACAACATAAATGTAACATTCTTATCGGCCTTTTTCTTTTTCTATGGCGTTCAGAAGGGATTTGGCCCCCGAGAGCCTCCGTATTATGTTACGAGTAAAAGAAGGAAACGAAAGCATCTTAAGGCTTCTGGTCTTCAGTTCATCAGTTCACATGAATGTGAGTAACAGAATCCTCCCATCATTACCTCACATGAATAGTATTCACTGCAGAGGACAACAGGACCTGGTGCACCATCACACCCCATATACATCCCATAAACACCAACCGCTGCGTCCGGCTAAACCAGTTTGAGAGCGAACGCTTACCGGATGAATTAATGACTGAGGCTTCGTGTTACCTGTAATCATAATCAATATCATTGTACAGTAGATTCAATGTGAACTGCAGAAAAAGAATCCGTTATTTATATCATTGATTAATCAGTTTAAGTCATTCTTCTTCTTCCTGATACAGAACAGAGGCTCTTTGGGTTTGAAAATGTCGCCTCAGAAATTCTGACATGTTGAAGACCAAATGATCTGGAAGACACTTCTTCACATATGAGAATATGATTATTATAAACTAGAATATATATACTAGAATATGACTA